AGTAGCCAGCGCAGTTAAAGTGGGCAGTACTGTTTCTGTCCTATGCAATGTCAAAGGACATTTTGGAGACTAAACAGCTGAACATGCATCCATGTTTTGTAATGTTTAACTCACCTTGCCAAAGTCTCTGACATCAAAGAGGTCGAAAGGGTCAAAGAGTTCACTGTTACGGAGCCCAAACTTGTCGTGACACACCTTCAGAAAAGTCCGGATGTTCTTCAAACACAGGAACTAAAACCAGAGGAAAAAAAGGAAATAAATAATATCATTTAATTATAAATTCACAAAACAATATAAAAGCAAAAAAAACCAAAAAACACACACTCAAAAAAAAAAAAAAAAAAACACACATCTTGGACTCATTTAGGTGTTTATCAACATGACTAAACAAGAAGTATGTTTTCCTTGGAAACATGTTGTCAGTTTAATATTATTATTCAGTGCCACAGCATTCTTGGAAATAGATAATTCCCCGGTTAATGATGGCCAGGCTGCCCCAGTTTATCCCTTCCCAGTGTGTTTGTGTCGGTTTTCAGCACCAAATGTGAAACTGATGATCGCTTCTCCTGAGTTTGATGGGCTGTTCCTCAGACTGAAATAAGGAGTGCAAAGAGAGGAGACAAGGTGTCATTGGACAAGCCCAGCAGCAAAGACCTGCTCCGAGGTACACTCGACCTGATGGCTTCAGACATTTACCTCATACTGAAAGGTCACAAGAGTGTCCAACAACAATTACACAAATTCCTTTTAAAATGTCATCTACAACTTACACATTTTACAGAAATGTGAATATTCCAATGTTCAGCGTATATACAGGTAGAGACACAGTCCTACGAGTCCATGCAGTTAATGATGTTGTCTCTGAATTGCTAGGAAACAGCATTCAGCTCCTTAATCTGTTCATTTTTTTATATAAAAAGGAGGACCACACACACACGCACACACACACCATTGCCCCCTCCACAAAAAAAGGTAGGATTTAAAAGTTGATCTCAACACAATGGCCTTTACAGCACAAGCAAACAAGATTCCCTAACACATTATCAGCCTATAAAAACTGTGCTTGGGAAGGTGATTTTCCTTTCCTTTTAATTTTTTCCCATTTTCCCCTTTTTTAAAAAAAAAAAAAAAAGATCCAATTAAACACTTTTTTTTAAATTGCAAAACTGCCAACTTTGTGGTTTTTGGTGGGGGGTTTAACCACAGTAATATTCTAATAGCATTAATGCTACTAACATTACAGTCAAGAAGACTGGCAAGAGAAATTCTAGTATTTTATCTGTGACCTATGGGCAATGGACCATACAGTTGATTCATACACCTTTGCTAACCAAATTCATCCACCTGTTATATAAAGAGTATATGCCTAAAACATCTCTAAACTACACACTTTAAGCAAGATCCACTGATGCTGTAACATGAAACTACCCTGGCCAGTATGCCAGTCTAAATTAATGCATGACAGTCAGGCACCCTCTGTTTTTACACTGGCAGTAAAAAAAAAAAAAAAATTGCTGAACACTGTTTCAAGATCACAAGTTAGTGATCTTGAGACTGAAGAGCCATTTGGGGGCAATGGTTGGGAACCTACAGCAGGCAAAGGATGCTCATAATAAACTGCATAATACCCTCCTGCCACGAATATTGATGGTCTCAGTCCCCAAAATACGCCATCACACAGATAAACCTTGAGGGCTGAGGCGCAGACCAATAACCGCAGTATTGAAATATTAATAAGCATAACTGCCTCCCATCTACCATCTTTCTGTGTGAAGAACAAATTACCTAGCATGCAAATCCAGATGCTGCTTAGATATGCGCTTTCAATTTTCTGCATGCAAGCGATATAAACTGATGGCCATGGAAGCAGAAAGAACACACAAAAGGAGACGTAAATGGGCGAGTATGTATGAAACAAAAAACTTGATTGCTTTGATTCTAGTAAAAGCGTTGACAACATACTCCATCTTTGTAATAGCTGTTGGATAAAACCAGTAAATTAACCAGAAGCCTTGCAAGTCACACTTGATGTCGAGTTAATGTTAAAATCCTTTCAAAGGCAGCAACAATAAGCTCCTGAAAACCCAATAAGTGGGTTTTCAGGTGCAGTATTATCCATTTTCCAGGCACTGAGAGGTGTGCATTGTGCCTTTCTGCAGCTTGATGAGCTATAGTGTGTCCTGGTGCTACGCCTGGTCATGGGATACATCACCTTCTTCAGCCTTGGTTTTCACCCTGAAGGGATGGGGGGGGTTGTTTGTTTTTGCAGAGCACATCGTGTTTTTTGCTATTATCTCTTTGATAATCTTTCATCTGTCAAGTATTTCTGGCATTTGATGATATTTCAGCCAGCCTCTCCTGGTCAACAGTGAGAGCCCTGCTGACTCATTCTCATTCATGTGTGCACATCTGCTTAGTCCTGGTGTCACGGGTGTGCCCCCGTAAGAGAGCCACACTGGCCTGTGAAAAGAAATGCAACTGGCGAGCGAGCCACAGTGACATTTACAGTTCAGCAACCAAGGTTATCCTGTCTACAGATCCGCACGTGCTGTGAACGGGGTGAAGAAAAAAAGCTTATTTTCCCAATTCAGATAAGAAAAGGTAACATTTGCTGGAGTGGTTTACAAACGAGAGAAAGAGAATCTACAGATATGGATCAGCAGGCGGGAGATGTGTCTGACATTCAAATGTATCTTTGGCGATAAGAAAACCACTGTAGGAATAAGCACAGTTGCTATGATCTAAGTTAAAAATAATGATAAAAAAGTAAATAAATAGAATACATATACTTTTTCTCCTAGAGTGGGAAGAGTGGGTGCACTTGATAGGAAACAGAGTATGGTCATCCCCTTAAGCTGATGTAGCCCTCAGCACAATCTATCAAGTGTTACCGCAGTGTCTGGAACAAATTCAAGGCAAAGCACAGAAAATCCTGAATTTTATTTAGAGGGTTGCAAATGCATCTCGCATTGAGACACTGATAAAAAAGAAACATAAGAATTTTAATTAAAATTCACCAACTATGTATATTTTATTAATTTAAGGAGAATTCAAAGTTACATGAACTCAGAGCAATCGTAAATCCATCATTTTTAACGTTGCCTGCACAATCTGGTGGTATTGGTCGTTGAATAATAATAACATCAGCAATCACACTGGTTGAATATAAGTGTCACGTTAGCCATGCAGTTCTGTTTGTGTGTGTGTCTGCCACCAGATGAAAGACTGGACAGTGCTTTTGTTAGCCACTGATAGCCTTCCCCATGTAGTCGAAATATTGAATGGCGCAACAATCGGAGAAACTGTGAAAACTCTTCTGAGCAAACAAAAGACTCGGTGTTAAAGGAGGCAAAGAATGTGAGTTAGACAGAAAACAAAAGTGAAATAAGAGTGAAACCCTGGTCAGGCATTCACACCATGGAGAAAACTTCGGGACTTGAGTTTGTTGAAAAAGCAGCTTTACGTTGGCATTATTCCCACCAGACTAGTATGTAACAAAATATAATAATAATAGAACTAATACAAGCAGATGCTTTAGAAACTGAAAGTGTCTTGTGTGTGGGAAGCCTGAAGGTAAGCAGTCAGTTTAACTGTCTCGAACCAGGAATCTTTGGTGTCTCAGGCAACTGTATTAACCACTATAACATGGAGCCAATACCAAACAGCATTACCTTTATGCTCTAGGGCCTCTATGATAAGCATCTGTCACTATTTTCCAGCATAGACTCATTAAAGACATATTCACTGATTATGAAGTCTACCTCCAAAACTTCACAAACAAAAAGAAGATAACTCCCACGTGTGGGAAACAAACATAAAACAATGGCTGTTATGGTGCTTGTTCTGCTGCGTGCACCTGACGTCTAAGAATCCTTCAAACCTACAAAACAATCTTTTTACATGGAGAAAAAAAAAAAGATGGAAATAGAGACGTGGTATTTTGCATAAATACCTCCCCCACATACCAGGAAAAAATATGCAACTGTGAACAAACAAATGAGCTTGTGTGCATTTCTGTTGAGCACACAAGTGTGTTTATTGTTTGCTTTGAGTCTTTGCCACCTGAAGGCAACGTGGTGTCAACCCAGTATTCCTCTTACTTCACTTTAGTTTGAAAATCGTGCTTCTAAAGGTGTTCAATCTAGAAGCAAGTTCAGTAATAATCAGATTCAGGCATCAGTGCAAGTATTTCAACTAAATCACATGTTTAGAAGATAGAAAGTGAAAGTCTAGGAGCAACGGAAAGTGAAAAGCAAAACAGATATGGCAAAGTTAAATAAGATTTTTGAAAAAGAGAGGGAGAGAGATGGGATGAGGCTTTTTACAAGGTGGTGTGTGTGCACCACTGGAGCAATGTTGTGATTTTGACTTCTCAGTCAAACAGCAAACGGCTCTTTAAAGAGGCACACTTGTCAGGAAGGCAGGGAGGAGTGCCGAGATAGAAGGCAAGAGGAAGGAAAGGAGCAGGAAAAAAAAGGAAAAAGTCAGGTAACAAAGACCCATCACATCCTTGACAAGCCCTTCCACCATATCACCACGCTACATCACACAGAGAATAATGCATTATGCCTGTGGGAGGGTGGTCCTTATCTGCACACACCCACTACATGCTCATATCTAAGAAGATACAAATTAGAACTTCCTCCTGGAACTGCACAACATCAAATTAGAGAAATGGGATGCAGAAAAGTGTGCAAATGAATATGGAAGGAGAGAGGAGGAGTAACAGGGAAGTGTGACTTGTTTTTTGCTCCTGTAGCTCTTTGGTGTCTGGGAAAAGGGGGAATGAGGTGGGGCAGATCACAGCCCATGGGGAAGAGATAACAAAAAAGAGAGGAGGTTGTATGTAAGGCTGAGAATTTAGAAGAACTGCTTCCAAATTGATCTGATCAGAACTGGTTTCCTGAATCAATTAGCCCCTATCGCTTCACAAATTAGATGCAAATTTACAAACAAAACATTTTAAAAAAGAAAAGAAAGAAAGAAGATACTGTGTTTCTGGCACCAGATGTGTCTGGCAACAGTTCCCATTAAGCAAAGGCAGTGACATCAGTGAAACCAAAACAACAATAATAGTATGTTATATAAATCTAAATGTATTTTAACAGAACCATTATGATATAACAAAGCAGAGAATACAGTTTAAACAAATAAAAAAAAGTGTATGAAGAAGTTAAAGAAAAAACTGTTTCTAATAAACTTGGCAGTGTATGCAGCAAGGCACATCTAAC